GGGTGAGGGGGGTGACCGACGGCGAGGGGGGTGACCGACGGCGTGTTGGACGGCGACGGCGTGTTGGACGGTGATGGCGTGTTCGATGGCGACGGAGTGTTGGACGGCGACGGCGTGTTGGAAGGTGACGGCGAGTTGGAAGGCGACTGCGTCGGGGAGGGTGTGGGCGAATCGGAGACGCAGATGGCCCTCTCCATCACGTATTCCTGCTCAAGCGCCCCCTCCCCCCCAAGTGGTACCACGTCAGCCACCACAACGTTGTGTCGACGCGGAAATCTGAACGCGCGCGTTGCAGCGGCCCAAAAGACAAATTGCGCGCTCAACGCTCGACGTACCGTGACCGGTGCGCTGTTGCTACGCAGCAGCACGCCGCGGGCGTAGTTGGTGTAGATGTCGACGTGGCGCGCGTCCATGACGTTGTCGCTGACCATCACGTTGTCCACATATTCGAGCTTGATGCCAAGCACGTGCTCCTTGTTCTGTGTGTGTGTGCCACACAGATACCAATAATGAACTTAAGTTCCCACCATAGTTGTCAGGCTGTCGAGACGCACGCACGACGCACACATGAAAAAAACCAGCTGGCACACGACCACAACGTACCGCGAGGCCGGTGGGCTCGACGAGGGTGTTGCCGGTGATGGAGTGCGCGCCTCCACCGGTGACGGAGATCGAGGAGTCCTTGCTCCACGAGATGGCGTTGTCCGCGATGAGGGTCACGTAGGTGGCGTTCCAGACAGGCGCGTTGACCTTGATGCCGCACCCGTTGACCGTGTTGTCGTTGCTCAACCTTGGTGGTTGGTGTGGCGGTGGCGGGAAAAGTTGGAGGTCAGTGTGCTTTTGCATTGCATTGCATTGCATTAGTGCAACAGAGCCTTGTCCGAGACGAGACAAAGAAATGTGTGGGGGGAGGGGTACATGGTGGCAGTCACGCCCAGCTTGTTGTTGCGGATGGTCGCGTTGGGCACGTTGTCGACGTAGATTCCGTCACCGCCGGCCACCACGATGTTGTTCGAGACCAGCACGCCGTCGGTGTTGGCAAGCATGATGCCCTGCCCGGGATGTCCGGCCAGCAGCTGTTGGAGCAACACGAAGATGATGATGATGATGATGATGATGATGATAGAAAAAGAAGTTAGCGATGATAATGATGATGATGATGACGAAGAAGAGTGGGTTGAGTCGGCCATTCCGTTCCAGTCCAATTCAATGCGACGCAGTGTGCAGTGCGCTGGTGGGGCTGACGTACGTTGGCGCCGTCCCAACCGACCCAGTTGTTGGTGATGACGTGATCACGGGCACCCTCGATAAAGAGTCCTCTGTCGCCGCCGTTGTTGGCGAAGATGTTGACTATCGTATTGTTGATAAAAAGAGGAACATGGTTGTGTGTGGTGTGCGTGTACGTGTACGTGTACGTGCGTGCGTTCACGTGTCGTGTGTGTTGTGTGTCGTGCGGTGAGACGACTGAGGCAACTCAGCACATTCGACCCGCGGGGGTTACACGTACGTTGCTGCTCGCCATGGGGACCTTGGGTCTCGATGCGCATGTTGTGGGCGCGCAAGCCGCCCTCCACGTTCTTCAACCACCACTTGTTCAGCGAACGCGAAGCGCCCACCTGGTTGCCTGTGTGCGGGTGTTGCGCGTGTGCAAGAGTCAGCCACCCCAACCCGTCGGTTGTCGCGCGGGAGTCGACTTGGTCGGTCATGGTGGGTACGAACCGTAGATGTGGCACGTCGTGGGACACGCGTCGGGCTCCCTGCTCAGCATGATGCCCCACCGGCCGCTCCCTGTGTGTGTAACGGACCACCGCCGTTAGAACTTTTGTGTCGACAAGTAGTCGTCGTGCCCAGAATAATATTGTAGTGGGGGGGGGGCTGGTACCGCCGATGGTGTTGTTGAACAAAGTCACGGGCACGGAACTGAAGATGCCGTGGCCTGTGATGTTGGCCCATTATTCCACCAAGCACAAGTCAGTCACTCCCTGCCAGCTGAATGAACCAAAGAGCGCCAGCGAAAAGCGAAAAGAAAGTCGGACGGAAAAGAAAAAATAAAGGAAATGTTGATGTTGTTCGCGGACCCTTGTTTCCGTCGGCGAGCAGGACGGGCGACATTCCGATGTGGTTGCTCGCCACCAGGACCCTGGCGGGGCAACCCGACACAGGGCTGCGCAGAATGATGCCGGAGTCCTGGCTACCTGCAATGTGTACCGCGTGGTTGGTGTGCGTGAGCACACGTTCAGTCCATTCTGGTTGAAGATCAAGGCTAGATGACGAGATAAGAGGAAAATGGGCAAGTGCGAGGGGGAGCGTACCATGTACAAAGTTGTGAGTGATGGAGCTGCCCTCCTTGAGTACGGCTTCAATGCCAACACCCACGTTGGTGCCCTGCACAGACACGACGTCAAAGTTGTGAGAACAGATCAACGCAAGAGCCAAGCAACAATATCTATGGATAGATGAGAGAAACTCTCAGTCACTACTCTCGTACGATGCTGTTGCTGTCGATGGTCATCTTGGCAGGGGTGTCGATGAGGACGCCCTGGCGGCCGCAGTTGCTGATTTGGTTGTTCTGGATGCGGTGTTCCGCATCAACGTCCGGGTGGCCCGCAACGCGGATGCCAACATCGCCGGCGGTGATCTGGTTCGACTCCACGAGGCAGCTCTTGGCCTCGGCCTCAATGCTCACGCCGACCGCATTCGAATCGAACACGTTCTGCACACCATTCAATATTGTTCAGTCGACTGAAATGCCTCTGTTTCCCTAATGAAAATTGGGACCCAAGCTGGCCTTTGGTTCAATACCTTCCTGATGG